AGTATGTCATTGGGCATCTGGCCTACCAGCCTTCAGATTAAGACTGGACATCCTTAATCACCTGCTTTTGATGGTCCCATTGTAAGTTTCAATCAATGAAGAAACGGTCCAGGGATCTGCTTTTCCCTGTTATATCAGTTTTTGTTTGTGTGAGACTCTCCCTTTGTATAAGGTGGTACATCTGGGCTGTAAGGATTGTATAACACGCTTGTGATTTAAAAAATAATAATAATAATTTTCTTCCTCTCTCTGACTGGCTCCTTGCTCTCATCCTGCAGGTGGGAGAAATCTTTTCAGCAGTGGGGACTGCATTCACCAAACTGGGAGAACTGACCATGCAGCTGAACCCTGTTGCCGACTCCAGTCCGGCGGGGTGCGGAAATGAGGCGGCGCACACACAAATGAGTACAGATTACATCTGCTTTGCTGAACGTCTGATGCTTGTCCTTAACATTTGATATACAGTCCGACGTCTAGCCTTCATAATTTAGAATGACTGCACAGTAAATTGTGATACGGAGCTAGTTGATTTTTAGGTTTTAGTTTTGGCTTTAAGGTTTAATCTCTTAACTGTGAAAGAACCCAGCTGATATAGCCCCGTCAAGGTGAAGAGGATATGAAGTACTGTTGTGACTAGAAGATGATCCAGGTGGTGTCATGCGATAGTGGAACCTTCTCTTTGTTGTGTATGGCGTCCTACAGAGCGAAATGGACGGACACAGAGATTGAAATGCTGCGCTCAGCCGTGCGACGCTTCTGTGATGACCTGAATGCTATCAGCTCGGTCATCAAGGACCGCACTGTGTAAGGGCATTCCATTCTCTGGGGACTTGTCTTGTCACTGGCGTTCTATTTCTACTTGCTTCTCATATTCTTCTGATTTTTTAGATCACTGTCATAAAGCAATCTTATGCTGTGTGTGTGTGTGTATATGTATGTGTGTGTATATGTATGTATGTGTGTGTGTGTGTGTGTGTGTGTGTGTATATGTATATGTGTGTGTATATATGTATATGTGTGTGTATATATATGTATATGTGTGTGTATGTATGTATATACCCACATTCTGATTTTCTCAGCCCTGTCTTAATGTCAAAAACAGAAACATATTTTTTTTGTAAATGTGGTGTCAATATAAACCAGAGAATACAGAGTAATTGTACAACTGGTAAATTAGGAATCATAAGAATTAAGATCTAGACTAAACACTTGTAAAAATGTGCCACTGGTGTTAAATCACAAGGCACCGTATATTAAATAAGGTTTATTTTAATTCATCCAGTTTGTTTTTCACCCTTTAGGTTTTCAGTGTTTTCGCAGTAGGTTGTAAACTCCGAAAAATTCCGATACGGTTTGGAACTGTTTGTGGGTGGATTTAATCAATTTCATCATTACCATTACTACTTTTATGATAATTGTAGTCCTCTTTTGTTTTCGTGTATTTCTGAATTTGTGGGTTCGAGGCTTAAACATTCAGGGCATTTTCTGTTTTTAAAAAATCTGTTTTTCTTGGCTTTCATTTCACTTCAAGATTATCATTTGAATGAATTTGCAGTGAGTTCCCAGAGTATAACAGTTTCCAGGAAGATTCACCGATCTGAATGGTGGATTTTCGCTAAGATCCTGTCACTCTGATAACATGTGACATGGCATTACCTTTTCTATTATATTAATGCCCTGGTGTTGGCACATCTCTTCCGTACACATTGAGCTGGTGGGCAACAAGATATGTACCAAAGTATCAGTTCACAATTCCACCTGGAAGTCTTCACAATTCTCTGTCATGTTGGTGCTTAACGATTCTAGTACATATTGTGCTGTGTTAAAACATGTTACTTAATACTGCTAGCCTAAACTGGCTAGCTGTTAATACAGAACCAGTTTGGGACTGGAGGTTTCAGAATACTGTTGTATTGTGATTCTGGCAAGGCACATCACTCTCACCCTATAGCAGGACCCAGATCAAGAACACGGTGAAGAGGAAGCTCTACGAGGACGGTGGGGTGCCCCCATCTGTGAACTCCCCCAAGAAGATGGCTGCCACCTGTGGGGTCCCAGCGCCTGCCTCACAGGTGGCTGTAGCCTCTATACTTGAAAGCCCTTCCACTGCCCCCGCTACCATCAATAAGCAGACAGCAGGTGGGCAAGCGTGTGTGTGTGTATAGGGTGAGAAGTTGTCATTCAGGCAGTAGCGGGGGGGGGGGGGGCTTTTTGAATACATATACTTCACCTCCTTATAGCCTATTGGCTAAATGAAATGCCATGAAGCAGGATTTGCTGAGTTTTTATTAGGCTTAGCACATTATAATCTAATAAATGACAGTAAATGTAACTAAAATCCAACTGGAACAAACTTTAAGGGCTTTCCTGGAATATTATTGACTGCACTGATGCATTGCAGATTTATTTGATGTAATTTCTTTGTTTAGATGAGGTGACATTAAGTGCACTTAACGACTTTGAATGCGAACAATCACCTAGCGGATGTTGAGGGACTGGGTCAAGGGTCCTCCACCAAAAAATTCAACTTTGACCAAGGTGAGAATTTCCCATCACCTTTCAGCAACTTGCACTTCTATCCTAAATAGTGCCAAACTATGATGATCCTCTGGTATGGTTTTCCCCAGCAGTGGTTTATCTATCAGTAAACTAACCTGTTTTGTGATAAAATTTGCTGGTAAGGGAAACCCCATGTGGTGTTTAAGGCACCTAACTGCATAGTTTGTATGTGTGTCTACATGTTTGCCCGTATATTCACCTAATGCCAGGAAATGGAGAACCACAGTAAAACATTCTATTGCCAGTATTTTATTTGAAGTGGTACATTGTTCATACGCTTCTCTTCCTTAGAGAGCCTCAATCTGGACTCCAGTCTCATCATGCATTCAAGTGACCTGCCTCTTTTGTCACACTAATTGTACTTTTCTGCTCTTGACCTTCAAACCTGACCGCACTTTGGGAGGAGGCCTAGCATCCTAGGCTGGCGAACCTTGGTAACAGGACCCCCAACTTTTTCCTACCACCGGATTGAATTTGATTCCTATTGGAATGACTGGCATGAAGAAATGGTGCCAGTGCAACGGAAGGGTTCACATGTTTGGGCAAATATGGAAATATGTTGCCGATCATTTTTAAGCAATAACTTTAAAGGTACAGCCAGAACTATTGGGACTTGGTAATGTGAATTTCATCAACACCTATGTTTTTGACTGGTAACACCAATTCCTTTGTTTGACAGAAACTTTGGATATTTTTTATGCCTTGTTAACTTTAAATTATGATAAATAAATTAAGGACTTCATTCAACTGAATGTATACCACAGTGTGAAGTAGTGTATTTTTCTTTGAGGTCACACTTCTGTGGTATTATCTAACAGTTAAGTGCAATATATACAACATTCCAAAATTAATTGTATTTATTGAAATGACACTGACCATTAATTACCATTTTAATTTTATACAGTTGAAGTATATATTCAGGAAAGAACTAATGCAAAATTTTACATACCTCAGTTCACGAAGGCTTACATTAAAACAGCTAGCCTACACTGCATTGCATTGATTATTTTACATGCACAAACTTAAAATCTGGTTTGACTTCTGAAAACGTGTATGTGAATGAACATCAGTTTCTACAAGTATTTACTGAACTGAAAAAAGACACAGGACCATATATAAAAAAGTAAAGTAAAAGCTTAATGGTAAAAGGAATGTTACTAGAGTGGGTAGTATGTCTTGACTTATGCAAATGTTTGTTCGCTACAATTCCCTGGGTGACAAATATTAGTTTGAATCATTTTCATGTTACGATTACATTTTCAATCACTGCTAGTCCTGTGACCCTGAAGCAGTCCCCTTCCCACCTGAAGTAGCAGACCAGCTGTAGACCCTGTGTGGCTGACAGAAGCAGCACGATCACACTGGCAGTCCAAGGAGGGCAGCTACCAATATTGATGTGCTGCTACGGCCAGGCACACCATTGGCATGGCTGCTGCCATGGAGATGGCCTGAGACAAAAATGCCTCACACTTCAAACCAGATGCAATACATTTACTTTTATTGGTTTGCTAACTGAATCAAAGTTTTCATTTGAGATTTAACCAATTGCAACAGCAAAAAAAATAAAGGGGAGAAAAGGCATGGTCTGTTCCCTTTGAGCACCAACTTACTAATCAGTCAGAATCCATAAGTATAAATGTAGCATTTTCTACTTGTGAAAACAGGGTGATTTTAAAGAGCTACACTTTCAAAAATATAAACCCTCAAAAGAATAAAAAATAGCATTCTTCTAAACTAGTAAATTCTCACTCATTCAATATAACAAAAATGCGAAGTTATATAAAGTAAACAATACATGCAAACTATATTTTACATACATTTCTGTTTACATAGCAAGGAGAGCTGTTAGTCCATTCCTACACATCCACAGTAGCTTTACACCAGGAAGCTGTACCCTTGGAAGCCTGACCTCAGTTACATGTTGTTCCCAGTGTTCCCAGTAGCAGCACACAATGGTTTGGAAGTGTTCTGGGTGCCTTCAAACTATGATGTGCTGCTAGAGGGTACACTGGGGGCAGGGACATGGACTGGTCCACAGAACTCCAACTAACAAGGCCCTTCCACATTACACCAGTGTGTTACACATGCAGAATCACATGTGGATAGACAGGTAAATATATTCTTTTAAAAGTTTTAAAATGAACTTCAAACATTTTCATCATGGTAACTGAAACACAACAAAGAAATAATTTATAGCAAATTCAGGCTGTTATGCTATATTGGTTCTTGATCCTCTTTGAAAGATCCAGCTAATTATAGTCTTACCACAAAATGGAGGGCAATAAGAATAAATGGGGGAGGGGGAAGCTACAGCCAAAAGTTGCAGTGTAATGACAAAAATCACAAGCAGAAACTACTACTACACAAACACCACACATTCAGTCAATATAAAGAAAACGTGACTATTTGGTCTGGACCACAAGAATAAACAAGAGCTTGTCTTACCTTTTAAACAGAATTTAATCTAGTTTGTTCTGTGAAAAAAGTATAAAATTGCATTTACCAAAAAAGTTAAATATTTTCATATTGTTGCAAATGCCTAGAAATCAAAATTATGTTATATAGGTTTGTATATTTACATTAAAAGAGTTTATCCATAAATTATGGGAATGTGGATTAAAAAAAATCTACCCACAATTAGGCAACATTTAATACATCAACATACTTTATCTTAATTATATTCTGAAGACCTAAAATGTTTTAAAGTGAAACTTCTTATTATACTGGGATAATTTTTCTGGAAGGGGGGTGTTTTATCTAGATTTCTATAACAAAGCTAATTTAGTCAATACTGAAATCACATTAAAAGATGAAATACACAACATGTTGTACTATACTAGAACATTTTTGAAAAGGAGACAAAAAGCTTCTTTATGTTAGATTGCACATATCTTGTTGAGGTAATCTCTAGAGACTCAATGGCCCTCAGAGTATACATTCCAGGTGTATGTGTGCAATAATTTGTGCATACATGAGTGAAACTCTGTGTCACAACTTGTTAACAAGTGTTTGCCTATCTAACAGCCCCACCCTAACTCTGCCATTGACATAACAGCGAGGTACTATGGAGACATTCCCCATACTGGGTACCACAGGCAAGGGCAACCTGGGGGCATATTCAGTATATATGCCAATTTGTGTTAAGCAGGTGCTGCCTGAACCATGCACATAAAACAACAATCAAAAATGTGGCAAAAGAATAAGGTTAATAAACAATTATTATTAAAGTATAACACACAGGAAATGTCTGACTTTTTTGGTAAAAAAAATATATATCCAAAGAACACCACATACAACATAATGTACTAGCAAACAATTATAGCAACTAACACAAAAGTTAAAGTTGGAAAAAAATAAACAAAAATATTAAAATCTGTTTTCATTACATTCTTCCAGAAACACTGAATAAAATAAGATTTTTTTTTTTTTTAATTAGAACCTTTCACACACACCACACGCACACAGAAGTCAGTTTTAAACTAAAGCAAATCAAAGAAAAATATTCATCTTCAGAATTAAAAATCATTATGGAAAAAACAAAAAAAAATCTGTAAAAACCCAATTTATTGGTTATCTACAAAAGAACAGGCCCAACCATGATTTTTTTAAAGCTACAGTGCAAGGCTGAAAATGACAGAGTTCGTTTTTATGCTTGGTTTTCTATTGTAGTTATCAAGTTAGCACTGTTGTAGTGTATGTGTTAACTGGATGCCTGTAACCACAATAAAAAAGGATAATGAAGAGGGGAAAAAGATGGATTAGATTAAAAATTACCACTGACTGGCCTTCTCCCATAATCTGGCCATGTAGCTCTTTGAACTAACATATGGGGAAACAGGAAGGAAATAAAGGTCGTCACTTACCTCTGGTCCTTTTTCACATTATCAGCAAAAGATAAAACAGGAATAGAAGAGGAAAACAGCCAATTACTCTTAGCACAAAACCAGCAGAGTCCAACCAATCTGTCATGCACTTTGTCAGAACAGTAAAATAAGACATTTTGCTTCACTTAATATACATTACAAAAAGCCAGTCTTGATATTATTCTTAATGCACCCCTTTCTCTTAATTCATCACGTTTTTACAGCATACTACATACACTACTGAAAATAACTAACAATAAGCTCTAATAATAACCAACCTATCTTTGCTGAGCAAAGAACAAGTCATCATAATTTATAAACCAATACATAAATATGTATCATTATTTTGCTAAAAGCTTGAATAAATAAATAATAATAGTAACCAATGGAAATAATAAAAAATTTAAATGAACTTAACAAAACAATAGGGCTTCCCAGTCCAGATGGAGTAGCAGAGAGACCGTCCAGCAAAGCTTAGGGTTTCCTTTTCTGATTTGGGGGGGCAAGCCTAACACTTCGTCCCTAACCCCCCTTTTCCCGGGCCCAACCCTACCACCTCCTGTCAGTCCCCCTGGCCCCATTCCTTCCTTCTCCACTTCAGAAAGCAGACGTCCAGTGGTATGCAGCCCCTGCTCTGTTGCAGCTGAGTGAGGCTGCTGGGAAGCTGGGTAGGCATAAAGAGTAGGGGCTGTAGCCTTTTTCCCAGGCCATCACTTTCTACATTTAAAATCAACCTTTTCGGGCCGTTGAAAAAATCTGAAAAAAAAATGAGTGGGCTCTTCTAAGGGTGTAGAAGAGCCATGTGAAATTTTGGGGCAACTGCTACAACCACCTCCAGGCAAAAAATTATTTTTGTAGTGCTCGGTGCCTGGGCTACACCAGTGCTACCAGGCTTGCCTCGCTTCCTGTAAGCTTGCCAAGGCATTCAAACGGGGGGTGGTTGGGTGGGGGGGGTGGGGGGGGGTGGTAACACAGAGAACACGCAACTCTGTGGACATGCAAGAAAAGAATTGTGGTGCATGCTTGTGTGCACATGCTCCTTCTGATTTTCTACATAAACACAAATAAAACCACATCCAAAAACAAGGACAAGCCTTCCCAACTTGGTCTCAGTTCAGGTACGATTTAATAAGGAGGAGAAACGGAAGTCACAGAAGATGATACTGATATACGAATGATATGGAGATAAGTGTTATTTACAAATAAATTTGATTTTCTTTCGTTTGTCATTTCAGAAAGCATAACACTCAGCTCTCCAATTCCCCAAACCCTGTACGCCACACAAGGCCAAACTCACATAGTGAGGAAAATGTACATCTGATTCTACAGATAGATTTACTGAAAGGAAGCTAGTCATTGACACACACACATACACACACACACACATACATACACAGATTGATGTATGTCAGAACATTTGCTGCCTATACCAAAAAGAATATATTAGATAAGTGCTCATTTATTTGAAGAGACAATGTTCCAATTATAAAAAGGATTTTACATCACAACCACTAAAGATTACTTTACACAAGGAAAAAAAAAAATCTCATACCTATGAAATATCCTATCCTTTTCCTATCAATTAATAAAGGCTATACCAGGTTTTCAGAATTTTCACTGAAAAGCAAACACAATCATAACGGAAGAATTAACTATATCTGAGTGCTTTAAAGCATTGACTACACAAGTTTACACAACAAGTATAAAAATCAGACAAAACATAGGTTTCAAACCACACATGACAACATTTAGAAACAATCTGCATGTGCTCCATCTAACCATGTTAGGAAAAAAAAAAAACAGGATATTTCTAAAGAAAGTCATATAGATGTAATAAATCCTCTTTAAAAGATGTTCAATCACACAATCTAAAAGCACCCTATTTTTTCCTTCCTACATGCTATGTATGACATTGGTGATACTTATATGCTGAAATTGCATATTAAATTTTAAAATCTGATTTTGTTATATGTTCTTGTGAAACCACTGCCAACACGGTGGCATTTACCACAGCTTAAAACAATGGGCTGAAACATCCGTTGACCAGTAAAAATCAGATCACTATTCCATAGGATCTAAATGTACATTACAAATTCTTTATTTCACCCCAATATGTCTAGATCATACCAGGAAGAACAAATGCAAATCAGAATATATATAATATTTGCCATAAAATGCAATATATATGCTCTTACATAAAATAAGTATTATTTCTTCTACTCAAAACTAAATTTAAAGAGATTAAAGCACATATGTTGTAAAACCCGGAATTTTAATTTTGCACTACTGAAAAATAAACACTACATTTGTTTTCAATGCTGAACCGGAGTAATGAACATCACGACGGATTCGCATATTCGCTCACTCTCTCTCTCTCTCTGACTCTCTCTCTCTCTCTCTCTCTCACAAGCACACACACACACACACACCTTTAGCTATAAAATAGATTTAACGCTAAAACCTTCACTCGCACCACATTCAGTATAACTCAGTACGTTGCATAATAATATTTAAATTACAAGCAGAAATTGATTATACATATCATATATGACAGTATTAATAATAATAATAATAATATAACATAAATTATATAAAGAATATAAGAAATACACTGGTGAATTACATGTTTTGTAACAAAGATGTCCACCTCCAAATTCACGTCACTTTATTAGCTCACTAATATTATAACTAATTTTGCAACTCAGAATAACTTGTTCAATCCCATGTTCCCAAATAAACTACTCGTTATCATCAGAACTTTAGACAACATAATAAAAGGTAACCAGTAACTAGCCAAAATAAACAGCTAACCAAAACTATTTATTTTTAATATTGCTGACAGGTATTGTGTTACTAGTATGCAATAATGCTAAATTGCTTTGTTCGCTTCTTCCCGTTATTCTTTAAAATGGGATACATAGGCTACTTTTTAAAAGGGGTTATTTTACATTATGAAAACCAAACTGGCGTTTATTTTAAATGATTTTTCCAAAGTAACAAGATGTGTCAGCTTATCATGACAGCTGCTGGTTACACTGTCACTAACTACATTTTTTCATTCCCGTTATTCAGATTCTTGTCTTTAACACAAGCAGGTACACTGTCATTAAAATTCGCTAATCGCTATATTATTATTATTATTATTATTATACTTCATATTATACGTGGTCAGCTAAAAAATTGGATGCTGATTTAAAATAAGTTTCTTTTTTCCTCCTATTAAAGCGCGATTTCTATAGCTGGATCTGAAACGGTCCTAGGCCAGCGCAGGTCGGGTTTTCAGCTTCCAAATTAAGTTATCTCTATAGTTTACAGTGTTGCCAAACTATACCTAAAAAACGGACCGCATTGTTGATTGTTTTGTAAGCACAAGAAATATGTATCAATTAAAACCGTGGCCAGCACACTGGAGGACGGTTATTTTTTTAAACGAAACACTTATTTTATTTAAATTAAAAATATAAACTGTCATTGACAGCTGCTTGCGATCATCCTTTCAGGTGTCCAACCCCCACTTAAATCCTATTATTAAACTATAACCACTACACGAGGCAAATTCCGTAATTGTGGATTACAAAAATATTGAATTTATCCATGGCACGGGGGTGGGGTGCGGAGTTTCGAGAGGGTAGTTTCGAGGAGGGGTGTGTGAGCTGGACTGACAGAGACAGACAGGCCGTCAACGGCGCCCGGCGATACAGGCAGCCTGTTAGCAGGCTGGCCAGTGTAAACAGACAATCATCCATGTAAAAAACAAGAAAAAAGTCAAAAGTATACTCAGATTTCATACACACACACACCTGACCATTTAAATTGCTGCATAGTGGAGGGATTTCAAAGATATTGTATGTTGCCTTTTTATGTACCTAACGTCAACTGTCTAAATATAGTAGTTCCTAATAATAATTGGACTGATCATTAAAATTCGCAATTTATTATAAAACAGAGCCCAGTTTCTGCAATAAATAAAACGTAAAAAAGGTCTTACCTTTGGGTTAAAGGACCATGCTTCCAAAATCACGCCAAAAAATAAGAATTTATGAGAAATATTTTTCGTCTGAATGTATTAGAACACATATTTAAGAAAATTATTGTATGTGTTTTTCAATCCTGGTTATCAGTCTCTGACACGACACAATTTGAAAATGGCGCCAAGGCGTAGCCTCGGTTCCTCTACCACTCTGGTGACAAGGCGTTAAAGGAAAAAAAATAAATAAAAATTATGACGGCTAAATAATAATTTTTTATCCGTCTAATTATGTGTATTTCAGATAGATTTAACAATTCAGCCGCTTATTTTCTCATAAATTTCCTTTAATAATTTTTATTTATTTTTTGTTTAATTAAAATGACTGTTTGTCCTCACCGCAGTGCAACACGGGAAACGATCTACAGGCGTTTTTTTTTAAATTTCATCTGCCGGGAAATCATGGTTGAGGGATTTTGTCTCCCCCTAAAGACAGCAAAACGATACTGCAGTCTCAGTTTGTCCTGTGAACAGTAACTTGTCTGTATGAGATATTTTTATATATATATATATATATATATATATATATATATATATATATATATATATATATATATATATATATATACACACACACACCTACACGTGTATTTCCCACTGGTGATGTTTTTAGTCTACTTATTCCAAAAACAACATATTATTCAAATACTACGCAATTAAGAATAAACATATGATATTTAATATTCATTTGTAATATTTGTTTTATATTTTATGCTTATGGAATATATAACATATCGTGTTTCTGTTTCTTGTGTTGGCAGCTGAAACACCGCTATTTCTCTTACAGGATAATGGATTAATTAAATGAAACTTGCTAAATGAAAACCAGTTCTGCAATATAGTCGTCAGCATTGGTTGTGAGATGTGAGAGATGCTCTTCCTTATCTATGTGATATAAATTATGGGGAAACTGATTTCTAAATGCAAATAACACTTAGGAACATTCATATTTAGAAATAATTTAAACCCCTGTGCAGGCTGCCAGTAAGGTACAGATTTTGTTTACATATGTACATAAACTTCCCTCTTTTTTGACAATGTTCCTGTTTTAATAGAGAAGTATTCCTATGAATGCATGATTGAAAAAGTACTAACATAGCTACTCTAACTGACCTTACTGTCTTTTTTGCAATCCTCTGGCATTTTTATTGTAGCATCATTAATTGATTAAATAATAGTCAAATAATAATGCTTATCCTGGTCATGTTCGGGGGATGGGGGTCAACATGTAGTCTGTGTATGCTTACAATATTTTTATTTTAAGCATCTTATCGAGAATCACAGTTAAGATTTAAGGCATTATAAAAACACATTTTCTGTTCTGTGTATTACATTATGAATTTTATGTCTGTTTGGTTACAAAGTGATATGCCTTGTTAAGATTTGTACAGATTTTTCTGTGACTGATCGAGTCACTCCCCATATGTCAGTTTAAAACAAAATGAACAAATACTAGTGAGATGCCTAAATTTTTCTTAGACTATATTTGGAGAATATACATGCACAGCTAGACAGGATGTTGCTCCATCAATGCTCAATCGCAAGATCTGACCTTTGGCACCCACATATTTTTTCAGGAAAGCATTGTCTCCATTCTGTAAAAGTGACAAACAGTCCACTGCTGTTTCATTTTCATGTTTTTATTAATATATAATATTTATATATTTAACAAGTGTATATTTTTTCAGTTAAACATGACACACTTCGCATCACATGAATGAAAGACTGAGGAATGATTTTTTTTTTTTAATCTTGCAAGTCCATAAAAATACTTGATCCTATTTTTCAAACCTATTTACAAATTTCAAACACATACGAAAGGCCATTCTTGATGGCAAATGTGCAGATTCTGTGTTTTCCAGTAGTGGAAGTTATATTCATGGAGTTTTGAATATTTTGTTAAAATATGAATGACAATGTATACATGCATTTTGGCCAACAAACCTTGTAAAAAATGATTTTTCTGGTACTTAAACAGATCAGAAATATGCAGTCACATATTAGTCACTGGAACACCTTAGCACAGCCCTGGAATATGTTTCTCACATGTTTTCTACTACTTCATGATAAACTGAGGATAATCTGATTAATAAGTAACATATACATATTTTTACAGCAATTTAGCTAACATGTTGCTTAACACTGCATACACACCAGAATGAATGTTATTGCCATTATTAGTTGTCATGCAAGGAACCACTTTGCATGAAAAACCAAGGAAAAAAAAAAATTTTTGGGGAGGCTATCAATCAATGGTTTTGTTGTATGTTGTTTATGTGTATATTTACACACAGACACACACACACAAATGAGCATTTACATGTTACAACAGGCGAACAGATAATTTGCTCTTGGCTAATTCAGGCTGATTCTGAAAGTGGGTCCTTCTCATATCAAGAAAGGGACAATTGTCAGGTGCCACTTATTATTAGCTCCTGTACAAAATCTGCTCCATTAAAACAAAGCAAAGAAATATTTAGTCAAAATCGGATTATCAAGACACTGTGTGAATGATACATAAAATAAAGTAATATCCAAAAACTAGACAAATTTATGTGACATGCTGTTTAATTGTGGAGCAAACCTGAATCTGAAAGGAAAAAAAAAAACTTTGTTATACTGAAGTATTTAGAAAAGCTAACAGGCAAATTACTTGCAAGAATATGTCAGAGACTGATGATTCCATCTTTGCACTGCAGATTCTCTGCTACTAACATCTTTTTACATAATAGAAAAAACGTAACGTCCTGCATCTGAGCAGGACCATGAAATGCTTCTCTCCGGACAGCCCTGCCCAATGAGGAATGCAAACCCCATTAGTCACAAATACTGAGGTCAAAACACAGAGCTTCTGTCCAGTTTATGTACAAAGTAAATGTACACATAACCTAAAAAAATACAGACATAACCCATTCAAAGGATTATCAAGATTCTTTTTGTCCAATGGACATTTGCCGTTAATGTCAATTTCTTTCCCCCATTTTTTTGGTAGAAAAATGGCTTTTATGTCTTCAAGAGCAATGCATTATTGCCTTATATATATAGGGGCTCTGCAGGGTAAGCATAAGAAACCATTTTAGCCTGAGGAGGAAATGAAAGTACTGTTGTACTGTATTGTGTTTAAAACCTGAAAAACCTCTGGCAGGTTACAGGCAAACTGACAGTAGCTATGACTACACACTGTGACAGTACAACGCTCAAGCGTGATACGGTGCAATATTTTCGAACTTCAGCATTGTTACTGTGCAGGGACGTCAGCTCTCCTTCGCTCTAAACCAGCCCAGTCATCACCTTCTGATTGCCTCACAAGCCTGCCATTGTCTCTACAAGTGGTACATATACGGTCCGTTGTCTAGAGGCTGGGATGATTGGGGTGGCATGACCGGGGGCTGCCCTGCGTCGTGGCTGATGTGGACCCATCACCCTGGGGACTGTCAGCTGGGTGGGAGACACTGGGTGAGCAGAGAAAGGAAAAAGGAAGAGAGAAAAAAGGGTAACACTTCACTTCACAGGGCACAAATAATGGAGAAGTATGCTCTTATGTGTTAATGAATCATGACGCATCTTATATCTCAAGGGTGCCACTTCACAATAAGACTACCCATATAAAGAGTTTATGAATGGTTTATAATCTGGTTATTAATTAGATTGTAACACTTTGTAAATTATTACCAGACTATTTTAAACAAGTTATAACATAGTTTTTTTTTTATTAATGAGTTACTATCATTTACAAGTGGCAAAAGGGAGCCTTATTGTAAAGTGGTACCATCTGAAGTAGTGACTATATTTGTTTATAATCTGTTCACGATTTGTACTGAAGTAGTAACTGAATTTTTCCTAAGCTCTTGTACCACTTCAAGTAAAGTGTTACCAAAAAAAGAAACATGAACACTTTACGTGGCTTCAGCTACATTCGATTATAAAAGTACAAATAAACAAGTAAATGTATTAACTGTATAACTACATTTAGTGTAACATATTATATGTTTCTGCCTGTGTGTACTACTACTGAAATTGGATTCTGACCTTACTGTATAACCAGCAACATGGGGAGATTCGGTTACTCCAGCAACAAAGAGTTTCTTGGGTGGGGCATCGGACTCGACACCTCCTACAAAGCAAAATCAGGGGTAAGTGCAAAGTTGGCAGCAAATATTGTGTTTCAAAACATCAAAAAATTATGTGACAAACGTTTTGCATTCTAAACCTGTTATGTGTATTTATATACATTTCTAACATAGAGCCACGAAGGACTTGCTATTGCAATGTTTTATTTCTATTTTGTACTCAGTAGACTTATTCTCCATGTTTCAGTTCAAAAGTCATGACTTGTTTACAGTCAAGGGCCCCTGTAGCAAAATGTCATGAAAGACGCCTTTAAAATAAAATGTATTATTATTATTATCTTGGGCCCCTAACTTCATCCTGGGGGGGCTGTGAATCTGCCAGGGCATCCTAGCCCACCCCACACCCACGTACAATACATGCAGTGGCAATGTAATTGACAAAAAATGACATTTTGCTATAAAAAAGTAGCCCTGAGCCTTAAAATAGTTTCCAGATATCACCTATAATGCTGACATGAGAATGACATGGAGGAAGCTTGCAGGCAAATGAGCTTTTGTGATCTGGTCAATGGAGGTAGGGACACTTGGGTAGGGCAAGAAATTATCAAATGAAAGAAAACACAAAACTTTTCAGATGCAAGGTACTTATAAACCTGTCATGCATGTTGCCCGACTTTTAGCCCAAATAAGAAGAAAATAATGTTTTCTTTGTTCGCAGGCTTGGCTATTAAATTAATCAGCTAGGTAGCAATCCAGTAAAGCAATCCAGTCATTGATTTAGAATATGACAAGGCTATATTTGTATATTGTAATGTCATCAGCAAGGCAAGTAATGCAAATCAATAAAACTGGCAAATGCAACTTGCAAAACAGGTCTTGTGAACAGATGACTTTGCTAAAATTCAGTGTTTTTGTTTTGGTAACTGATAGTTATCATCTTGATGTCAATGGGTAAAGAACTGTATCCAGGGCATAATCTTGATTGTGACCAATCAAAGGGGCAGTAATAGGCTCTCTCACCTTTCCTTTTGAGTGGTGTTAAAACAGGCCATCTTACAGCAGTGGTCAGGGCTGCCCTGCTGGTGAAACGAAAACTCTTCAGACCACAGTGCACTGTGGTTATAACCTCACACTGACAAGAAACAGGCTTAACTGAAATTATTTTATTAAAAGTAGATGCCAGTGTTCCCTGCATACAATTCAAGCTTACTTTTTGAATCTCCTTGTTGGACTAGGTGACGAATTGGGTGTAACGCCACTGTCCAGAGAATGGACTCCCTGTGTTTTAAGGACAGGAAGTCAGCAAATTTCATCATTTTATTTCAACTTCTCTCAGTTCAATCATAAATGACTGCAGTGACTGAATACTATGGGTCCATCTCACCTGATCAATGTGATCATGCCAGTGTGTGATTGGTGGAAGTGGCACCAAAGGGGAAGCACTGTCACAAATAAAACAAAATACAGTATTACAAAATAATTACAAACATACAGTAACAGTAATAATTCTTTTCCATCGCTTTCAACCAGAAGCCACAACGGACACACATGCCCACTGCCGCAGAACAGTCCACCCTCAATGCACCAATAATCTGACAATAAAAGCCTACTGCTTAAGATTAGTTATGATAAATGTTAAATGATAAATGTTAAATGTTCCAAAAAATTTTTACTTCTTATGATAATCCTTCAACCCATTTTTTGGAAGCAATATGCATTCGTAATACTAAAAAAAACTATTCATAAATGCTCCTGAAGAAAAAAAACAAAACAAAAACAGAGTGTGTCTGTTTAATTAACTAATTTAAGATGAGTCAAGAGAAATACTGCCCAATACCTCTGTCTTAGGTTCCCACGCAAGCTGAGTTCCATGCTTTCATCCTGAAAAACAGACACTGTTGGCAGGTGTCGTTTCCAGCTTTTCCACGTTAAAAACTGTGCGCACTTTTTAAAATCACATTTAAACTTAAGGCAAAACCATTTTAATGTACAATTTTTAAAAAATGGCTTTAACTCCTGAGTTCCTGAGTTTAGGTAACATCTCTCTCAAGGCCACTTACCTGCCTTTGGGGAGCCGATCTCTCTATGGACGTCGGAAAAGGGGACAGAGGAAGCGCCTGAAACTAGAAGGTAAATTGTTTTCTGGGTGTCTTTGGGGAATACCGCACTATCCCACAAATGAGAATCCATCTGTTTCTGAATAATGTGTACTTAACCCACTGCGTAGTGAAATCCTGAAATCAAGACTAAGAGAATGATGCATTAATGCAATTATGCCATGCCAAAGAAATGACAGCCGACCCACATCGAGACAGAGGTACTGACCAGGCCAGGGCAGCTGGGGTTCACAGACACACTGCTCCGCCGACAACGGGCAGAACCAGCTGAGCTGAACACTGCCATCCCATCGCTGCAGGAGGTTTCCAGGGAAACAGTGAGGCATGGTGCATATGGCAAGAAATAAGGGATAGTAAGATAGATATGGAATAGTGGAGGTAAAGAAGGTGAGGTGTAGTTAGCACTAATGAGGAAAAAACCCTTAATGCATGTCTGTTTCTCATAATATACAGTAAAATATAAGCATGTAAAGTTCAAGTATTGAAAAGTACATTATGCTGAATTAAATTTTTTCAATGATTAGCGATTGACTTAAATAATTAACACACAAAACTGACAGGTTATTTCGTTAATTAACTGCAGTCCATTTGCCGAACTTAGCAGCAACCTGTACTTCCCTCACCTGACACCAGTAATCATGGGGGCGCTGTTCGACCTTCGCAGAGCCCCGCCTCCAGTAGCCACAGTCGCGCCTGCGCACTGGTCAATTTCCATCCGTTCCATTCCGTGCACCTAGGCCTTCGAGTTCACTGCTGCTAAAGCTGGCCCCCTACCTCTTTCTCTCTCGGTCAGAATGTATCACTGTAGTCCGGCGAAAGCCCGACCTGCAGGCCTCACCCAGAACCTTTGGTCCAAACGGGACCGCTGGCTGAATCAGCGGGATGCTCTCCCCATCCCTCCCTCTCTATCGCATTTTTGGTAGATAGTGAAAGCAACACCTCAGCTCGGATCCTGAGCTAAATTCTAGCTAGCTGGCTGGCTAACTAGGGCCAATGGTCCGGAGCTAGCAATATATATGCTAGCTGGCTACGTGTATTACTCTGATGAACCGCTACGGCAATATCTAACTTACCCAGCTAACTTGCATAGGTAGCCAGCCAATCCAGGAAACATTACTGAAGTAAATATTCGAGATCAAAACATTTTGCATGCTACCGCGAATATGACGAATTTGCAAAATTAACAAACCTGGCTAAATGTTTTATCAGGTAGCTCTAGGCAATCAACTGGCGATATATCTGTCGACGTCGGTCTATCGATGAAACAAGTTTCCATCTCACAGTCAATCAGAAACTCCTGAGAAGTTAAAAGCCAGTATATATTTAAAAATATAAACTAAGCTTTGAATTCTACGTAACGTTTAAATATAACAGTACAACTATACTGTGTATTAATTTAACTCTTCCGCCTATGCCCCGCCTCCTCCACGAAACCACTAAACAACCGCATAAATATAAATTTAAGCAGCTAAAGTGTTTTTTCCTCCATAGCTACGGTCGTTGCAAGACGTACCAATCAGTGGCCTTGTAGTGGTCGGTGAAACTACGCCTCTTGCTGACCAGTGAAGATACTGCAGGTCGATTCGAGAGCGGCGCAGTGGTCGTGCTCGGTGACTGTAGCAAACCAGCTGTACAGAGGCGCCGTTACGAGGCAATGAAACATTTAAGCGTCTGTGTTTTTCTGAACTTCTACTTGAAACATTAGTATTTATTGATGGACAATAGAATTGCATCACGTTGAAAGATACATTATTGATTAATAATAATTAATTAAACCCATTATTTTTGTAACTTCACAATAACATCTTTATCCATGCACTTTATATTTTCCGTATAGTTTATATTTATTGATGTTTACCTTCTGCCATAGTGCTTAACGTCAGTGATACTTGCGATGCATATGACATTAAAAAAATTTGAGCTTCAGAGCCTTGGTATTTTTCTTACAGGTGGTAGATCTCACTCTTTATTTGAGGAAATAATATGTCTGCATTTATTTTGGTTTTCTTGTACAATTTAGATTTTGACCTGTACAAATTTGCCCACACATATTCTTCTGTACAGCTTTAGAATAGGCTACTACATAGCACAACCTTGTCTGTTATGTTAAAACATTCCAAAGTTTGCCAAATCCTATTCAGAGTGTCACCACAAAATATGTGCTTACTAATGACTCAGGTTTATTAGGGGAAAGACAGAAGCATTTATGCAAACGTGCAGACAAAACGCATTGGGGACATGCTAGCACAAGTTTTAAAAGGTAATTTTTAAAAGCATTTCTTCTCTCTGCCCGGCTGGCGGGGCACTGAATCCCGTAAGCCATTTTCAGTTTAATCATTCGCCAAGGATCTCAAAGGCAACAGCAATATTTGCTGTTGTGGTCGTCATGGATCATCTACTCCTTAGTAATTAGGGCAATCGGAAAGGCAAAGTAGCTTTGCTTACAGTTCCTGTGTACTTCTGTCGTTACACGTGCTCCAAGGAAAGAGTGCCAGAAACACTGTCAGGTCAGTCTGAGTGAGTGCAATCTAAATGCTTGTGCTTTTTTTGAATGGGGAGAAAACCCATGAACCCATGAGATATAACCTGAACTGTGTCAAAGGCATTTTGTTGCGTGTAAACGTGAGTCATGATAAACAAAATGAATCACTGCTCTTTGTGTTTTATGCATGTCCTGTGTATTTATGAATGCTCAGCAATATTACACTAGTTAAACTTTTTCCAAGCAGCTGGATAAGCAGATCATTAACCTGTCATTTCTTTTAGGTTTAAATGATATGACTTGTACTGGATTACACACACACTACTCCCTTCTACGTTATAACATTAAAAGTAAATAATCAAACTTAAAATTAACATCATATCACATTATATACACACTACATAACCCATTTACATTTACATGACATATAAGTAATGATGTTTCAGCAAAAAGAAACTGGAAATATTGCTAACAAGGTCCGTATAAAAAGGTACACAATTTAACTAAGGACAAATTTGACATTATGTCTTGACATGGAATAAATATCAAATAACATCCATGGTTTTGGGTTTTGTCTGCCACAGGTTAAAGCCGCACTTCTAAGCTTTAAAAGTTTCAAAGCCCAGCATTTTAAGAAATGATACTACAGGAATTTTCCAGTGTAATTTCTAAATAATTTCTCTGATGTAAAAAATAATCTTCTTTTGCTATAAAAAGTCTCTCAGCTCCAATCATTCATCTTTTCTTATAATCATTCACATCCAGACTTGTGAAATATTCAGTATATCCCCCAGTTTGTTTGGCTCAAAATTTTACTTATGCCAGCCCCCGAAATGTATTTCCTGACGATTTAGACTCGTTTTCTTTATTGTCCACTACTTCCCCACCACCTTCTTCCTCCTCTCCCCCTCTACCAAATGCCCTTAGGGGCCAAAGGAGGCCATGAAGAGCGGGATCAGGTGAGGGGCAGCACTGGGCTCCTTTCTCCTTAGTCAGGAAGTACAGCAGCGCATTGAGCCAGGCATTGAATGAAGCCAGCGGCCTGGTGATCTTGTAACAGATGGAGACCGTCCTCATGGTTTGGCACTCCACCCCACTGGTCACTTTGAGAATGAAGAAGATGGTTCGTGTAACATGAAAGGGGAAGAAGCACAGTGCAAACAGCAGGATGATGGTGATGATGGTTTTGACTGATTTACGACGGCGCCGGACATAAGAAGAGTGTGGCCCCAGGGAGAGGGACACCCCCCCACTCCTGACTCGCCCTGTGCAGTCAGCTCTTCTTTCTTCTACCACCCCCTGTAGGCAGGGTTGCATACGCAAGGTCCGGATGATGGTCAGGACCACATGCGAATAACACCAAGCAATGACAGTAAACGGGACAAAGAAACCGAGCAGGTGGAGGACTATGCCATAGGGTATGTAGAGTGGAATCTCCGTGTCAATAGCATCATCCCAGCAGTTCAGAACAACCTCCACTGGGCCAGGCCTAAGCTTGCTTTCCGCCAAATGACCATTCTGTGCCGCCCTGGTGAGGTCGCCGGTCTGAGCAAAACGAAAGATGGGGCTGGTCAACGCAAACACCACGGCCCACACCAAAATGCATGTCCCCTTGACAGCCCGCTTTGTCTCCATGGTGACTATCCGCATAGGATGGCAGATGCCCAGGTAGCGGTGCACAGAGATGCAGGTGAGGAAGAAGATACTGCAGTACAGGTTGAAGTAGAAGAGGAACCGTACCAGGCGGCACATGAAGTCCCCAAACACCCAGTGGTCCCGCATGACATAACTAGCAACCAAGAAGGGCAGCGAGAGTCCATACATCAAGTCGGTGGAAGCTAGGTTCACCATGTATATGAGGGAGGCGTTCCAGTGCCTGGTGCGACGGAAGGAATGGTAGAGGACCACTGAGTTGAGGGATAGACTGAAGACAAAAGTGAACGAGTAGCAGATCGGGAGGAAAATGTACTTGTAGGATTCATCAATGCTGCAGGGTGAGAAGGAGGTCAAATTCCCTCTTCTCTGTGCCGGGATGGCCGTCGTCATGGTGAAAATAATACTTTCTCTTGATGCAAAAGGTCCTTTTTTGTCATCCCCCCATTTTTCCAGCACTCTTTCGATAGTGCTTTCCCAAGCTTGTTGACGTCTTGCCTTTGCACAACAGGATCAATGGTTCCAAGCCCGGTGATCACTTTTTCCAGCTTCACCAGACACAAAAATGTTCTGTTGTTTCCTCATGGTACTGTTCCAGGATATAAGACGATTATTTAGTCACCCCCTACTCTGTTTCATCTACTTTCTTCCCATTCCACATACTGAAAAATTGCTTCCTCCTCTGCGCTCTCACCCTTCCACCTCCCTCAGCTGGCTCTGACTCTTGCACAATCTCTGATGCTGTTTGCCCTCTGGTACAAGTGGATGGTGCTGATTCAGTTGCTCTCTCACTTCATTAACTCTTCAATCAGTAACCACTCACAATCCACCCTCATCCCCATCCTCCATCTCCCTTTCATCATTCTCCACCCCATTTCATAGCCTCCCCATCAGCACTCCTTTATTCCATCCTGCTGTGAAGTGTAGGATAACGTGTGGGATTGCTGGTCTAAAGCACTCCTACACATGCCCACCAGGTGCCTTCACACGATGCCAGGGAACAACTTGTTAAGTATGTCCTGGTAGCTGTAGTGTCCCTCATATTGATGCTTACATTTAGCATTACTTTAGCATTCAGAGGTGGTTTAGAGCAGGGCTCTTCAAATCCAGGCCTTGTTTTCAGTTCTCCCAGGTAGTTAGTTTAATAATTACTGATTCTGATTGGTCAGAGGCTTCACACCTGACTGACAGGTAAAGGAAGGCTGGAAAACCAGCAGTGCTCGGACCTCAAGGACATTATGAATTATTATTATTATTATTTTTTCATAGTGAAGGTAAGAATTCAGTAAAGGGTGAGAATATCGCAATATCTCTCCCTGAATTAAATTCATCCATTCCCCATTTCCATCTTTCCTACAGCCTTTAATTTTAAATTCAACTGTTAAAACATAACACATCTTTCAGAACCCACAATGAATGTGTGAATTACTATTGTGATCTCAAAATTAGGATTGGATGTTGCTGCTTTTAAACTGCATTGTATCTGCGTTTATACAAATATTGTCAATGTTGTCATCCGTCTGCACTGATTAGGGTAGCAAAAGTGTTACGTTGTATTTTTTGATCCTCTGGTCACATTGTGCATGGCTCTGGAAAAGAGCATCTGGTTAGTGAATAATAATTAAATGTAAATAACTGAAATGAGAGGATATCAGCCATATTTATACTGAGTGAATGTAGGTGTATGATGGGCAGGGGTGATGTAAGGGGGGGGGGGCATTAGGACGAATCCAAGGGCCCCCGAGTGACAGGGTCTCCAAAAAATTTGAAAAATAACTGGTCTGGACAGGGGGCCCATAATATTTAGCAATACCCCTGATGAAGATATGAAAGTTAGCAGATGGCTTAGTTGAATGTGATAGTGTAATTAAACAGTACTGACCATGCATATCTATGCATTCACTTGGGCCAAAAATCCTGCTGTTGCTGTGTAAGACAGACTGGTACAGCAGGTCATGCTCCCTCCTGATGGGATGTGCTTGTTCTTTCGCCAGGTTTACCCCCTCTCGCAGCAAGACCCTCTCGTGATTGGTCACCCTAGATGTAGGACAAAGTCACTGAGCGGGTTTGTTGCCGCTTTGACTAAGCCTCTTTCCACAAAGCATACCACTTGCTCCATAACTAGAACATTTAGTCATGCTGGAGATTCCGAAAGCCACTGTTAACCTCTTAACTCATAGTGTATCTATCAGGATCCACTTTTCTCATTCCTAAACCCTAATCTTTTTCTCCTAATTTATTTATGCTGAGCTTGTGGTTTGCAGATAAATGCGGTAGCCGGGCTGTGATTAACTACCCCGCCGCTTTTGAGAACAGCGTGTGCACAAACGGACGTCCTGTTCCCTTTACAATCACAATTCCAGGCACATGGCTATGTACCATAAGGCACTCACATTATGCACATAATGCACATTATTTTACATACACAAACCATAAACCCCTGCTCCATCCATTAATCCTACTTATGTACCACCTTCCATGCCACAACAGAAACTGCTTCTTACAAAAAAAAACGCAACAATTTTTGAGATTCTATTATAAAAATATGTCTTTATTGCATATAAAAGATCTTGAACTTGATAAATAAGCTACTGAAAGAGGCCACAAAGGAGGGGCGATGAAGTCGGAAAGCCCCGTAAGACCATATTTTTTATATAGAAGGAGCAAAGAAAACATAGCCGATATAAAGATATAGAGATCATTCCACATTCCGTAATTATTATCAATACTATGGCACCACATCCATTTTCTGTCTTGGCCATTAAATGCAGCTTATCAAAGCCCTCGTACTGAATACTGAACATCACCAAAAAAGTAGAAACAAAGTGTCCATTTCAGTCAGTTTAATACTGCCATTGTGATTCTGCTGTCATCAGCCAGACCCAGCAGCAGTAGCCATGGAGCGACATCATCATTCTTGTCCGGTTTGGACGGTTCCATCACAGTGTCATATCTTGCACCTCTAGAAGCATGGCATCTTGCTCGGTCCGCAGCTGGTCTCTGGTTAAAAGTCGACCCACCAGCTCTGAACTAAGGTCTGGGAAGAGGGGGTCACACAAGTGTAGACACTCAGGGAAAAGAACAGACAGCTAAGTGTGTGTAAGGAACACTGCTGGACTATTTGTATGCTGAGGAAAAGCCAGTATAACAGCTAGTAATGGTACAACCCAAGGGCGTAGGTTTGGTTTCAGCATTGGTACGGACCAAATCAGCCCCAAAGCTCACACTTGCCCACACACACACACACACACACACACACACACACACACACAGTTCTTTAGTACACAGTGTCCCAAATCTATACCCTTGGTACAGCCTCAAAGACTGACCTATAACAATCGTGTTGGTCAATAATGGTTGGAACACTGACCGTGAACACTCTGGGTCAGTGAAATCCTCAGTGCATCCAACTGCTGCAGGCTGAGGTTCTGCAAGTCGCTGAGGTCCAGCTTCTTCCTCTTGATTGGGGTTTCACAGCACGCAGTACACTGAGGGATAAGGGAAGTTGGGCTCTGTGTGCATTTATATATGTATTAATATTACTATTTCAGTAAAGTAGTATTTTTGCAATTATGTTTCCTGACAACTTCCCCACCTTCCCTGGCGCCCAACTCATCTCACCTCCTTCTCCTTCTGCTCAGTTCGCAGCTTGTCTCTGAGCGCGCTCAGTGCAGCTCTCACTTCTTGTTTCAGACCACCTGACTTGCTTCCACTAACCGGGGCAGGGGGTCGGTGCACGGCTTGGAGGGGCTGCGAGGCGACAGTGATGCGTTTTCGTGCTTTTAATTTAGAGCGGGGTGCCTGACACCTTCTGTTATCCTTGCTGCTGTCATCTGTCGATCAAATATTTTCTCACTGGCTTACATCTCCTCATGACGACTGTCACCCTGTATCCTTACCTGCTGCACGGCTTCATCTTCATCCTCCTCCTCACTTTCACTGTTGTTAATAAAGCAAAGCTGAAGGTTCATCCGATTCTGGAGCCTGAAAATACGGAAAGAGGGGAGTTGTTCTCATGCTTAACACTGATGACTATGTATGTTGATTACATGAGCTTTATGGAGATTACGGGTTGATTAACTTTACAACGTCAAAAATAGAACAAAAACAGAACAGAACAGTCCAAGCAACCTAAAGACTGCCTTTATGAAGGGCCCATATAGAGAAAATTAGATTAAGGGCTTTCCAATCAGATGGACATGCTTTGGGTGTTACCTGGAGGTTAGAGCAATGATTCTGCTGTTACACTCTTCCTCTCCATCGTCCCAGGCATCTCTCCAACACCCGCGCTCCCGTTCCCTTCTCCAACCCCCTGATACACACTCCTGTTCCTGGAAACCCATAAACTAGAGAATTATTAAAAGCTGGTGAACTACCCAAACAACTCAACACTAGACAACACTAGGACATTCAGACAAAATTCCTAAAGTGTTTGTGTTGTTGCATTTTGTCCCAGCCATTTTGCTTACTAGGCCCCATGCAACCCTAACCCTTTACTCATTCACACTGTAAACTAGGAGCAGTCTTCTCCAATTACATCCTTGGTATGACAGATTAAATCAGAAATATGTGTCTGAAATGTCGTGTTGTTCTATGGAATTTTATGTTGTTCAGATTTATAAAACATCCACCATTGAACCACTCTACAATGTTGGACCATAACAACCACAGCATCCTTCCCAACCAGTTTTTTGACCTTGTATTTCTCCCTCTTCTCCTCTTCCTGTTTCTCTAGTTCAGCAATACGCAGACTCAGAGCCTCCCAATGCATGATGGGCAGCCCTAAGTCATCATCATTGACCTCCTCCTGCCAGACAGTGGCTGCTCCTTCCACAGCCTGACCAAAGTCCTCCGCTTCATCGCTTTCTTTCTCTTCTCGCCGCTCTCTCTCTCTCTCCTTCTCTCCCTCCATTCCTTGTTCCACACCTTGTGAGGTGGAGATACGACGGGGTCACTGGGTAGGGCCCTCTACGGAGGAATGGGGGAAAGAAAAACAAACATCACGTGAAACACCACAGAAAGAGACAGAGAAGCCAACAAGAAGCACTTTCAACAAGGATCCTCAATGTAGCTGCTTCAAAATCCAGATTCATAAATATTTGTAAAGTACTTTTTTCTTTTTGAGAGCTTGACCAGTGTAGATAAACTTTAATAAGGTTAAAGATAGAATTATACTATTATTATACTGTACATTTATACTTAAATTACTTTAACTATCTCTGAACTGGACAGTTATGAAAAAAGATATGCACTGTAATTAAGCCTACTTTTCAGGATTGACCATGTAACCATATTTATACTAAACTAACAACTTTTACTTTATGTTCTACAGTCCTGTGCCTAAACTACAGCCAAACAGGAAACTAACTAATCTTCCCTGTTGCTTGTAATAAGGCAGTTTCATACTAGAGTAACACAGATAATAGGCCTACTTAAATTTTTGTTTTAATAGCTACAATACAAAATAAACATTCTTACTCAGGAGAAAATGAGCATCCTGTTCAGAAAGAACAGCATTACAAGATGTAAAATCCAAAAATTCAAAGCCAAGAATACTCACCTTGTTAGACTACACATATTTAAGTGCTGATAGGTGAAAATAAAACAACAAGTTGTCAAATTGGGATATGCTATTGGGAAATTTCTTCCTTGCAATGTGGCGTCAGCAGTCAGTTTTCCAATACGAACATTTTTATATAAAAATGGTAAATAGTACAGGAAAAAAAGATCTGTTTTATATTTCTTGTTTATATATGACCCACGTTGATTCATGCCGCTCTTGAACGTCCCAAAGCGGTACTCGATACCTGGAGTGTGGACGGGCTTCCAGGTAAAGTGAGAAGCGACAGCCTGGCAGCACATGGGGCGTTATCGGTCTTATGTCGAAAAGCGTTTAAGGTTCTGGCTAAACTTAGTGGTTGATGAATGCTTTGTGGGGGGATAATATGCTAAAAAAAAAAGGAAATGGAAAAGAAACAAAAGGAGCCTAGCCTGCTTGCTGTTGTGGGTGCGGAGAAAACACATATTCAGGGCGCTGATCAGCTTTAGTACAAACAGAGTACAATGTCCACCGGGAACTTACCAAATGAAATCGTCCAGCGCCCAGCAGCACACTCGCTTCTTTTTCATACCGCGACTCTAAAGACCTTTCGCACTGTCAGGACGACTGTGTCCCCATAACTTTCTTAATCTCTTCCTTTTGAACAAGGAAACACTAGCCTGTTCTCCTTCCTTTCCAACCTCCGTTTCTCCTCCCTTCCCGTTTTCACAGTTTTTTTTTTCCTCGCTTCTTCTTTAACCTCTCGCCGAAAATGTGTCAGTATTCACATCGGGATATAGATTTTTTTAACGCGAATAGCCTACTAATCGTTGCATTTAAATGACAGTAGTGATCCGCTCACGGAACAATGTCTAGTGAACATTAAAAATATTAAGCCTACAAATATGCAGTTTTTGAAAAAGGAAAACGACGAAAATAAGAAGATGCAAAGGAAGGAGAGGGGAGGAGGAAAAGACGACGAATGAGTACTGAAAATTTCCAGGTGTCCAATTTCATGATTGCGGGACGGCCGAAAACCAGATGGAGAAACACGCGGAGATGCCAGGGGCCACTGCTCGCCGTAAAATGCGTAAAGCGAACTCCTCCGCTGATACTTATAATTGCATTTCTGCTAAAACTCACGTAATTCGTTTAGTTATTAACTGCAAAACTATATCCATTGTGTAACTTCACCAGAAAAGTAGTTTAGTTTAAATGACCGACATTGAATCTATCACTAACTTTCCCCCTTGAAATGACTACATTGTCGGTTTACACATTTCTCCCGTACGTGTGGTAGATATCCAGTTTGTTAAGTATTTGGAGAAAACCAAAGTGTCTCCATGCAGATGTTTGAATCCACTGTTTTCTATTATGGCCTTTTTATGTTAACAATGCAGGCTCAAAGTGTTAGATTTTAGATTTAAAATAGATTTTAAAATTCGAGAGTCACATCCATATTAATAAAACAGCAGAGAGTATTATACTCAGGGATATAACTGAATGTAAATATTAATGTTTAGTGTCTGGCAGTTTAAAGCAACTTGAACATGAATTCACGTTACTGATTCTAAAAATAAAATGTTAAAATGCATTTTAAAAAGCTTTTTGTTTGCATGACAGGTAGCATGTGCCTGAAATTTATGGGTTTAAGTGCTATGGGTAGTTCTGCTGTTAGCTATTTTTGTGCAAGATGCACAACTTGAAAATAACATTGAAGGACTTCAGGTTGAATCAAGTTTTTTTACGTATATACACCGACACTGCCATCTGTCGATCATGGTCGGAAACAGCGCCACGGTGGAACATTCTTACTACCCTTTGAAGAATGTAAGAAAAATAATTGATAGACTTTCATGAATACTTCTATGCCTGTAACTTCAGAAGTTGTACAAGAGTGGACTGCTGGTTTGCAATATCTTATTGAAAGTTGTATTGTATTGCAAGTGGATAAGAACGACTCCGATATGTAATCATTACTGGCACAGAATGTGTTTTCTTTGTCGTGTTGGTGAAGTAATGTCTCCATTGTGCATGCTAGCAGAAAGCCAGTTATTAGCAAAGCTGTGTTTAGGCTGACTTGTCCAAATTAAAAGTCGTCAGCCGTGTGGATATCATGCTAGCTTTAAACATAAAAATGTACTGTCTTTGTAATATATAAGTCAACAGATTTATTGAGCTGAACCTGCAGTCATGTGGAAGACGCTGACTCTGGAGCTGCTGTGTAGAATCACAAGAATTTACTTAAGAATGAAATTATACAGTATCTAGGGTAATTAGTATTCAGTGATGGTGCTGAACAGCTTCTCATTCTTTGCACTGAGAGGCAAATACAATAGGCACACAGATAGCAAAGTATGTGTTGTATGTGTTTACTTTTTGATGCCAATTCAAAGCATTCGAACACAATGGGGTTAGATATCTTGGAGAAGAGAAGCACTTTGGGAAAAAAAAAAGACGACACAAACAAAATAAGCTAAAAGACAGATGATATACAGAAAATACGGCGGTGGGGGAGGGGGGGGGGAAGCAGACAATGAGACCAGACAGACAGTGAGGCAGTAGGGCTGTTGGCTTTTACTGAGTGTATTTATTGAGGTTTTTGAAGGGCTTCAGACAGCACCCAGAAGGCCAAAGGCACACATACAAAGCGAGACTGGCACACAGCAACCACCACAGGAAGAGTTTGGCACAGGGTGATTGGCTGAAGCTGTATGCATCAGCGGAATATAAGCTACAATGAAAAGAGTGATAGTAGGCATCGCAGATATAAAAAAAACAGCCATAATACTTGTTGTGATGGTGATGGGAATAATATGGGAGTGAAGGCTTCTGTAGTCCTGTCGTTGCTTGTACATTGCCTTAATTTTGCTTCTGTGTTACAAAGGTGCATTAAAATAAGTGCATTTTCCCCATGCATTGTAGCTCCCTCAGATCTGACCACTGGAAACTGGGGGGAATAGAGGGGGGGGGGCACCCAGTTCTGCCAAAGGATCTGCTCATTACATGGTCATCTCAGACAGAACCATAAGTGTAGCATTTTATTTTAATAAAACTTCTTTTTTTTCATATAATAAAACTACATAACATGTTTGGGAAGCAGCATCAGCAATCAGCAAGCAGCAAGCTTATGGCCAGAAGACACATCAGCTGCAAATGCCATTCTATTCAACACACTAGCAGCCATTAAAAACTGCTGCGCAGCAGATTAAATAAAGAAAAAAAAAAACAATATTAGAAATATGGCACTTTTATGTTGTCCATACATAACCTGTTCCCCATCTTGATAAGTCTAGTCATGAATATCATCATTACTAATGTATTTCATTGCATTTAAAAATGAAAGTAACCAGAATACTGAATTATTGCTAACATCATAATCATAACATCTGAGTCAATATGATAATAAGAATAATGACAATTGTTATACACGGTTCTTACAATATCAGTATTGTATAATTTCATACAGAAAATAACAGTCACGATATTTGGAAAGGGACGCAGTCAAGGGTGGGCTCAGGGCATGCATGGCGGGGGGAGAAGGACACAGGACGGCCTCTTTTCAGACAAGAGGCACTTAAGCAGCTGTCACTCAAGACTCATTAAAATATGCGCCCACACACACACAAACACGCACACACACACACAAACACACATACATTTTCTCCCTTTTCCATTAATAGATAATCTTGGTTTTTAAAATGTTTATTTTCACTTTAAATACACTGTAAATCTATGCTATAGTGCTCCAGTTACAATAGGTAGGAGCAGCATTCCTGGTGACTAACTAATCAGAATGCCTACTGCGAGACTTGCAGACTAGTCAGTGATCCAGGTCTTATCCTCAGTGCCATCAGGAGTGGAAAGAAATAACATCCGTCTGGCAGGCAAGGCGTGAGACAGTCAGCATACATGGACAGGAAAGCAAAATAAAAAGTCCACATAGACGCATATTACGCACAACCTCGAACATGACAATAAGTAATACTCCTGAAAGGGCTGGACTTTGACACAGTTTCACACTGACGCATGCAGACGACGGACCTACACAGGACGGTTGATAAATACAGTTCAGAGCAAAGGGGGTAGATTTCACAAGTCTGTATTTTCTCGCTGACCCCTCTCCTGCACAAGCCAGCTACTGTCAGTCCCACCTGGGGCAATGGCCTGACACAGAACCCCCATCACATTTAACAGTGCCAAGTCAATTATCCCCCCTCCCCCGTTTGCATTACAGGAAGCACGTCCTTAAAGGATGAGGGGGGTAGCAGAATGTTATCGATCAGCCGGCACGGCAACAACACCAGTGGCACAAACAAAATTGCTGCTGAGAGAAAAAAAAAAAACCTAAAATGAATATGGACACACCTGAGAGGGGTTGAAAAAATAGAACAAGCTTACGTGAATTACACAAGCATACACAGTGACGTCACTCTGCACACGACAGTGTGCTTCAGTGCAGTTATTTTAGAGCGCACAGTGATAAAATGGCTACTGATCAATAGCTTCCGTTTGTCCTGGAGACAGATAAACACAGAGACGGCGGACGAGATAAATTTTCATGGGAAAAACAGCCATATTAGCACCACAAACACCAACACACCAAACAGTGCCAACTAGTGGTAGGTAATACAAAATGAACGAATCACAAAAATTTAATGAAATCCTTAAGTTAAAAAAAACTGAGTTTTTGGATCCTGAGGATCAGAGTGAATGAGGGTTCCCCTGTCTCAAATATGTGCGCACTGATACTCACCCCCAGGCGCACACACATACATACATGCACTCACGCTTAGTTTTTTTGAGGTCTAAAACGTACAGCTTTTCCTGATATTCTCTGAAATCCATTCTTGCGGACAACCGTGCCACTCCATAACACACGCTTCTTCAAACTGAAAGCAGAAAAGCACTCCATTGCTGCGTCGGTCTGACGCCGCTCACGGCAATGTTTCTGCTCTGGATGTGCACAGAGGACATTGCCCCCTTCTCTATCACCATTTTGGATTGATTCACCAGTAGCAAATGCATTGAGAAAAAACGTGGAGAAATCTGCGAGGAATCTGTGTTCTACTGCCAGTCACGTCACTGCTTTCGGTTTTGTGATAGTGAGCCCCAACTTTTGTCCCAACAATCAAAATATGGAGTGATGCGGTCACCCTAAACCCTACGCTCTCTCATTCCATCAATTCCTCCCACGCCCCCTCTCCTTTCTGCTCTCCACTCAAAGGTCCGCACAGCGCTCCTGTTTGCTGTAGTGGTCAAACTGACTCTTCCAGTGCATCATGTAGGAGCTCCAGCGATGGAACTCCACCTTCCACTGTCGTTCTGCTTCATCGATGTTGTCTGAGAGAACAAAAGGACAAAAAACAAGTGCGGGAGGTCTTTCTTTCATCCCTACAATGGTTAACATTCAAATAACCTGGCATTCGTGCAAAAGTACAGTGTGGATTATTACTGGGACCTATAAACAGAGAGATATGTAGAGACATACAAATATTACTTTGATACTTGAACTTTTTTGTCTTTTATTATATCATTTACCTTTTATCATGGGCATCGCCGCCATTAAATCTGAGGGGGAAGTGTCCCCCTCACATTTCATAATTATTTGTTTGGACCCCCCACATTTAACATAAAATATTAGTTTTATGCCAGTGTGTCCCCCCCACATTCAAAATGCTTCTGACGCCCCTGCCTTTTATTATATGCATTTTGTCCCGAGTTGCATAAATTCTTACTCTATCTCACTTGTCTTATGTTTCCTGTCCTCATCCCTAAAAGCACCCCCTCATTTCCGAGGCCTTTGACCTCAAAGCCAAACTCACAACACTGACCCCTTACTTGACTCCTAATAGGCCACAAATGACATTTTCCACTAGTGTGGCGCCAGAACCAGTCAGCCCTTTGATAAAACTGGTTCTCAAAATTTTTTTTCCCTGCTATCATTGTATATTGCATCAAATAAAACCACTCAGTGTCTGGAACTTCTCAGTACAAGGAACCATTTCAAGAGAAACTGAATTAAATGAAGAGAGTTTTGTGAAAATAATTACACCAGCTGTTAAAATTACAGTTTTTAAATATGATATCCAAATTGAGAAGAATTTCAGCTAATATTATATAACTGATATAATCCAGTACAATAGATAAGGGGATGAAATCCTAAAATTTATTTATTGATGTTGCATTTACTGCACTTAAACTCTAGTATTTTAATGTATTGAAATGTATATGTATGGTATACAAATAATCCTTGTCAATACTTCTAATCTAATTGGAGTCTTCGCATTCATTTGGATGACCCTTTTTAATATTGCTATATATAAATGCCATACAACTGGGAAAACAGACCTATGTGTACAGACCTGGGAACACTGATCCATAGACGTCACCAATAACCCTACAAAACTTGATAACATGTATAATAATTTGTTTTATGTATATGATTGATATTGGTCACACCGATTGCTAAATATACTACGAAT